CATGGTTTTAATCTACTGCATCTATGTCGAATTTCGCTTCTGTAATTATACTCCGGTTCAAATAGCTTAATTTAACTTGTGTTTTTTATTAAACCAGACAAATCGAATGTATTCATTCTCGAAGAAGGTTATATTCATCTTCTAGATCATTTGAGAGAAGAGAAGAAGAGCAACACCAACAATTGCCACATAACAACATTCCCAACCTTTCTCAAAGTTTTTAAAATTCTCAAATCTTTTAAATCTATTTTTTTGGCGTTTAAACATTTACAATAGTTGTTATCATTGTTCGATGTTTTTGGCATGTTGAGATTTGACTGATTTTTTATTTTGTCATTTTGCAGGTTATAATGAGTTTGATCTCCGGCATCAACATCAAGCCTTTCTCCATCGGTATGAGGAATTCTCAAAATTTATGTTGTTAGTTTTGAATTCGATTATCTCTATATGGCATCTATTGAAATTGGAAGATGACAATTGGTTTGTGATCGGTGATTGTATTTTTTTTTTTATCTCTTATGCCTTTGTTATTCATGGTAACTATTTATAAAAAAAAATAGCACGGTTATTGAGTGCCTGTTTGATGAATTGTCAAACTCAATTTATTTCATGAACATGACTAACAAGATAACTCTCTAATTTTTTTAGTAGTATCATGCATCTTTACATAAACACGCATTAACCAATTTTATTATAAACGTTTCTTAGTTTTTTTCCCTTCTCTAGGAAAGAATAGAAAACATTTTGACCAATTTCATGCATAAACTCGGAGACTCTTGCAAAGTATGATTTTTTGGTAAATCTAGATTTCAGTTTTATTGCTTCATTTTATACTTTGCAGATATGGGTTGGAAATAAATTCTTTTTAGATTTTGGACTATTTCGAAAAATCAATTTACTGAGCAAGGTGAGCTAGGTGGCGCACAGCCTGCCATCAGTAAAAACACAAGCGGGATAATAAGTGCGGGACGGGCAAAGAGATCTATTGCTCAGCCTGATGATGTTAGAGAAAGGTAAGTGAATCTCTTTGTTATCTTTGGTTTCAAATAATTTTCTTCCAATTACGTCATAAGAAAATGATGTGAAATTGAATTACAACAGATTTAGACAATTAAAAGAGCAAGAGAAGCGCAACAAGAAGAACAAGACGGTTGCGAAAGATATAGTTGAACCGCTAGAATCTCATGTCTGGAATGATAAGAAGGGGAAGATAATGATGAGGTAATAGTTTCATAAACCGACGACTCTCATTAATGAAAATCGAGCAAATAAAACACATTATTACGGTGAATGATTTGAATTCTTTTTAAAACTGATGAGTAAGTGTTCGAACAGGAAAAAGAGGTTCGTAAAGGAGCATTAGCTTCGAGCACAAACAAGCAGGTTCCAGACGTTGGTCAACGAAGAAGCAAACAATCAAAGCGGAAACGCACTGTATAGAATCAAATAAACAAAATTGTAAGTAAGGAAGAAAAGAGAGATTTGATTGTATTTTAGTTTGATCTTAATATATTTACATATACCAAGTCCGGGAATAACCAAAATTATGGCACAAAAGGTCATTCGAAAGTTAAAAGCAGTAGTTGATCAAACTACTTAGTTTTTGTGCCTTAAAAGCATATGCTTTCTTATTCCTTTCCCATTACTTTCATAGTTTAAAAATGGAGTATGCACACATAAAAGCACGACATGTTTTGTTGAATTAAACATTAGTGCTTAAAGGATACGAAATGTTTTTAAAAAAAATTAGGAACATACTACCATACCCCAGAAACTTCTGGATTTTCAGTCAAGATTGATGTTTTATACAAATGTAGATTCTTCTATGTTGACTTATATATGTAATAAATGTGATATATTTATTACATAGCAAATAAAAAAACACAAAATTTATGAAATTATCAAAATAATATATTTAAAGTGATAACTATGAGTAATATAAATACAATGACTATTTATATCAATAAAACAGTTTACCATACAAATAAATCTAGTTAGACAAATAAATCCAATTAGTTTAGATAAAATAAAACTAAAATATTGACTAAACGTAATGCAAAATGGAAACATTTAAACAAAAACAATAAACTTATTTAAAACTACTCAATTTTTGTCTATATATTTTAATGCAACATAGTCAACTATTTATACACCCACTAATGACTATTCAATATAAAATACAATACTTCAAACTACTCTATTTCTACTTACAAGCTAAAAACAAAAATCATCATATTATTTCAAACTAATCAATTCCACCTACAAGCTAAAAACATATATATCTAAATTTAGAACATATCATATACGATATAATACGAAAGCTAAATATAGTTTACAACATATACAACGAATGTTCCCGCACATAGTTTGTGCCCCATTGAAAATATATCCCATTTGTGCCCCATTGAAAATTCGAGATGGAACGGGATATAACGGGATGGAACGGGAACGATACGGAAATTTCCATAAAATAACCAGTTTAAAAATACTAATTTAAATAAAATGATATTGCAAATGGCCTCTTATTGCAAATAAATGACATTTTTGGGAATTTTCTTAAACAGAAATCCA